AGTCAGAAAATACTGCACCAGTGTACTGCATTGAGTTCTTCCCTCCTAGTCAACATCTCATACTAGAAGGATGGTTGCTTTAACACAAAGTTACCAAAAACATTATTGTATCCTGGCTATTTAGGATTTGAAGAGACAGACGTGGCTGTTTTCCCTTGAGCCTCAGAGATCAGTACTGATATATAACTATATTAACATAGCTTTTTTAAAAAAGAAACACACAAACAAACAAAAAACCCCACACAGATCAATGTCAAAGGAAAAGATATTTGAACACCTAAAAGTTAAACGGGCATCTGAACCTCTATGAATGTGAGTTAGGTGCTCACATTCTGTACTTCTGCACCCTAAAGATAACATTTGTCAGACAGCAAAGTACATTCAACAAATCTCTACCATCAACATGTAACAAAAACCTTGCACCATTTGGTTGCACAAAGAAACAAACATGGAAAACTCATTTACCATCATCATTACCATCATCTTCAAAGACATAAACGCTTCCAGGAAAAATCTGTAAAAGAAACTGACTATCAGAGTTTTCTTATAGTTGGCTTTCTCGCCCCAAGCTAAGCTAAGAGCAATTTCTTCAAGGATGAGTCTGCAAGCTTTATCCAGCATCTGCTCATTCCAGGATCTGGCAGCAAAAATGTGGTATACAAATAGATAGACCTCTTCTGGCATAATGGTGTTGTCCAGATCCATTTGCAAAAAGATCACTCATAGTCACTTTCTTCCTTAAAAAAAAATATTAGAAAAAAAAACACAAAAATAAAAAACACACATAAAAAACCCAGAAACTTCTATAAGTGTGCGATCAGCATTCATCAGTCACATTTTAATTAGCAAGGAATGCCCGCAGTCATCAGGGTGATACAGTAACTTTAGAGTTTAAATGCTATCTCATCTAAGGTATGTTCTAGAAATTAAAGTGTCTTCTGTAGTATCAAAACACCAGAGCCCAGGGAATGATCCCCATTCTGTAACTGGCCCTTTGGATACTGCTTTGGATCCTTTCCTCTGCTTCAAATCTCTGCAGCTGCTGTTATCACCACCAGACATAGGGACAAAGACAACAACTGGGAGAGAACAGTTGGAAAAAGGGAAAGGTTGTTTTTTTTTTTTTTTTTTTACTGAGGCTATGAAACCTCTTGGAGCCTTGAAGGGAGAAAATACTATCACCATTTCCTCTCTCTCTTTGGTAGATGACTCTGAAAATCATAGAATCCTTAAGGCTGGAATGGACCTTTAGAGGTCATCTAGTCCAACCCCCATGCACACACAGGGTCACCTAGAGCACGTGGCACAGGACTGCGTCCAAGCGGGTTTGAAGATCTCCAGAGAAGGAGACTCCACAACCTCTCTGGGCAGCCTGTTCCAGTGCTCTGTCACCCTCACTGTCAAGAAATCTTTCCTTAAGTTACTATGATTTATCATTCAATGAGATAAGATTAAAGACAGGATTTCCAAATGGAAACCCATGTGTTCACAGAGGCCTTGGGGCCCTCACAGCCATGCACGCACGGTGGCCCCGGAGGGACGCAGGAAGGCCCGTTGGACACCTCAGCCCGGTGTACTCAGAGACCAAGGAGCACCCCACGAAGGTCCATGGCGCCCCCTTGGCCCCGTGTGCACGGAGGGCCTGGGGGTCGCACAAAGGCCCGTAGGGCCCCGCCGGCCCCATGCACATGGAGGCCCCGGGGGGCCGCACGAAGGCCTGTAGCTATGACTAGTCCCAGTCAGACTCCCAGCAGTACCAAAACCCGTTTGTAATCGATGTTCTTACAGCAGCAGAGCTTTGGTCAGCGCTCTGGATGCCTCACTTTTGATAATGAGGATATAATGAGGAGAGATGACAGACAAAGCTGCAGTTCCTATATAGCTATCTTAATTTGGAGTTTTATAAAGAGCTTTTCAAGGCTCCTGGGGAATCCAAAGGAGAGTCCTAAAATCTCCTTTCCACTTTAGCTCAAGACTCTGCATTGAAGCAGGTGTTCTTCTCTACAGCTGAACATGTTTGCAGGCCTTTGCTGACTTTGTCAACCAAGTAACTTTGCCAGTTTGGAAGTGATGGAAACTGGCATTCACCTTGCAGTCTCCCGGAAATATTGAAGGTAATTGATGTCAGATTCTGAAGTTTCTCAGATGTTGCACTGTAATGGCAGAGTTCTGCCTTTAGTGACTTCACCAGGGACTATAATCTGATGTTAGAGCAGGATTTTCCTTTCTAACTGGTGGTTTCCAGCTCACTTGCAGAAGATGTAGGGTCAGCTGATAAATTTCAGGGTGTCTTCACTAATGCTACATCGGTTTACACAACTTCCTGTCCCCTAAATTCTGACTGCTTTATAGCCGATAATGCTTGGTGTTTCAGGAACATATATTTTTTACTTAAGAGATCGCTTCAGTGAACTAGTTTCAGTGATGTATCATCTGTCATGTCTTTTCATCGACAGAATGGAAGGAATGAATTCTTAGCTGTCAGTCTTCTCAATATGTAAAAGTTCACGTTTTTGCAAACATTTGAATTCATATTTAAAGGAAAATATGCTCTGAACAGATGAAGGAATTTGACTGCTTTAAAGGGCTCTTCCATTATCGATAAATCTATTTGTAAGTACAGAATTTATGATAAGAATATAAAGTTACTTGCAGCATGTAAATCACTGGAATATTTATCTTTGCTTGCTAGCACTGTTTTCTAAAACTCTAGGAGTATCAAAAATGCTTACTCACATACAGTATGTATATGTAAGTAAACACAAACCGTGTGAAAGTTTGTAAATAGGTGATTGGCTTTAGCTAACAGACACTCTTGCGGAAGTCAACTGCAAAGTTTCTACTAGGCATCAGCAGAGAATTAGTCTGAGATTTGAAGAGAAAGGAAACGAGACAAAAGCACCATCACATATGGCCTCGATCCATCCCTGCTAGAACCTAGCTTCATTTCTTATGATAATGGATACCAGTAGGCCTTAGAGGGAATTTTGCACATTCTTAGAAGAAAAATAATGCGCTCATTGATTTCCTTTTATCGTTTCCTGTTGACTGCATATTCCTTACAACAATCACCACTTCAGTGATTTCAGTGAGATGCACGGGTATAACATGCCATGATAGAGAGGATCATAGGATGGGCATTGTTTTGACGATAGCAGTTCTGAAGTTTGATGTAATCTTTGCTAGGAATTGTGCTGTATCCCTTACTGATGGCAGCAACAAGCAAGACATTTATTCTGGTAGTGCACAAAAGTGTTTTAAAGATCTGAGAAATATAAATGATTCAGTACCACTTCAGTGATGAAAATAGAGATCAGCTACTTGCTATAGCTGTTCTGGAGGAGGTACACAAAAAATAGTGAATGAGCATGCGGATGTGGGCTCAAAAGCAAGCCCGGTTCAAGAACATTTTATATACTCTTAAGTGTTTTAGTTGAACGCACCGAAAAATAGCAGTTTATTAAGAGAGAAGGGACTCTTATTTATAACATGATTTTGTTTGTAACGACTAAGAAAAAAACCCAAATGTGTGAAAGCAAAATATTTCAGTAGTCAGGTAAATTGTGTATTTTGAAACTTAGCTTTATCTATAATGAAGCAGGGTTAGGCCAATGTGATTGAAAAGGCAAATTAAAATGCAGTGTTTAAGAAAAGCTGTTCAGCAAAACAGTTTTCCACTTAGAATTTCCTGGTATTTTTTTAGAATTAATTATAATCACTGAGATAAATGGACTCTTTGATGTGTATTAAAATGACTAGAAAACATATTTTTTTCTATTAGCGCTTCATCCACCTCTTTGAAAGGCCTTACACAGGTAGTGATGATAATGAACGTTCGTGGTTCTTTCTGCTATTTTTGGTCACAGGAAGCCTTAATTATGCATAATGCAAATATCCAAGAACTACAAATAACAGACAATTGTATGGAAGTGGAAGTGAACAAGTAATTTGCAAAGGAAAGGTGAAGAGAGTAAAAAACCAAAGTAATGGAAGGATGAAGAGCCCAGAGAACACTTAGTGTTGAGGTCACAAGAACATGGATATACGAACACCCAAATATTGCCCTGGGCTCAGGGAAGGATAATGAGAATGAGCAACTAAACGTATTTTCCCTGAACAGTTTGGTTTTATAGTTGTGTTCATCCAGTCAGGCAGTTGGAAATACTTTATTTCAAAGCCTCAAGTATTGATTGTCCAAAGGTACGTTGCTGAATTAATAGCAAATTCCCTTTTAGAGTTATCAATAGAAGTTTAAACAATAAAAACAGAAAGTTTGCAAACAATAATAGAGGAAATTCAAGTGATGTCAAGAAGATTCTTTTGATTAACCACTTCAAATGACAACATGTAACACTGTAACATTTTTCAAAACTAAAAAGTTTTGGGAAATGTTAACTTTGCTGCAAATTACTACAAAAATGGAATGTGGAGGCAAACATCAGAGTGTCTGATAACACTTGTTAAGATTTTTTTTTTTTCTTATTTTTGCTGGAAGTCTGAAAATATTTTTAATATAAAAAAATATGTGCCAGCTTTCTTTGGTAGGATAATGTCTTCCAGCAACATTTGCTTTGTGCAAACATGCACCTGTAGATAAAATAACACATCCTGACCTCAACTCTAATCCTATTCTGGAGTCAGTGAAGGTTTTTAGCAACTTCCTGCTCAGCTTGTCTGCATCTTATTGAATAATCAGTTGTTTCCATTTCAGCACCCAAAATACAGTGAGTTTTAGTAATTCGTAAGCATTACAAAAATGCTTCACATATGTACGCATTAAAGTGGCCAACTGCTGTTGTTTGCAGTTTATTAAAGAGACTGAATTCATAGGCAGTTAAAAAAATAAATCACGGGTCCAAGAAAACAAAGTTAATCAGAGATACAGTGCTCATAGTTATAAGCTTTCTTCCACCATATAAAGTAACATCCATGAGGATTAAAATGCAAAAACTAAACAAATAGTTAAGAAAAATACAGATAAAAACCTTAAAGCAAGTGTGTTATTTCCTCTTTTTGCCTAGATCCCCAGTGACTCTTCCAAGTAATGTAGATCTACTCTTTTGCACATGGATACTTATTAAATCTTCAAATACATCTTTCTTCTTCAGAATTGCCATTCGCTGAATATGAGAAAATGTCCCTGAAAAGTGACATGAAAATACATAAGTTATCAATTTCCAAACAACAAAGAGCAGCTGAGTGCTCACTTTGCCATTGTGATATTTTCTCTATTTTTAGCTTCTACTTTCCTCGTTTTATCAGCAGTAACTAAGTGTTATTGTCTAAAAAACTCTTTATTTTGGCAATAGCCATATCCCTCTATTTGCAAGTTGCCCATCATTGACAAATTACTTTGAATTACTTTGACTCCCTACCCAGCACAGACCTTTTCTGTCATATAAACATTCTCTATTTGTAAGTAGCAGAGCCAGGACACTCACCTACCAGAGCCATGTTATGGTCTTATCAACTCACAGGCTTGTCATCAAACTCCTTCCACAGCAGATGAGAATTATCTTAAAACAGATATCTTAAAACAGTGGCATATTTCAAGGATTATAGGATAATTTATATGCAGTGATCTCCAAAAAACACTTAATTGGTTGTGTTTTTTTCAATCACATTTGCTTTCTGAAAAAGTAGCTGTTTAACCCAGTCCCTGCTCACATGCCCGATGCAGCAGCCTTCGTCCCTGTGCACTGCCAGGCACCCTGCAGAGTCAGGGCAGCAAGAGGGGCCTGTACGAGGACTGATCTGAGCCCAAGGACCTGCTAGGGGATTTGCACCTGCGAGGGGAGGGTGCACAGCTGTGACCACCCTGCAGGGCCAGGAGGAGAAGGCAGACAAGAAACCCTTAGGCATTTGTATTCCCAAAGGTTCACTGCAAGGTTGTGCTGCACTGGGGGCTGAGGAGGGTCTTCTTGTACGGCTGCTCTTCAGGATTTGTGGTGAGTACCAAAGCTGTTTTTGCTTTTGCTTGCTTTGCTTTTCCCTTGTGATTTTCAAGTCCTTGTCTTGGCTTTGTAAAGAGTTATAATAGTTCTAGTACATTTAGCTTCAGTGTTGTATTATATGAGGAATGCTTTTGTGAAATTTGTTTTTTCATGAGTGGCTGGATTTTGTTAAGCTGTCTTTGAGTAAAAGACAGCTTGGTCAGATAACTGTAAGGGACTCTCCTCACCTGCCTCTTTGCAATCAGTGTGGAGCTGACTAGCACTTCTCTGCAAGATATTTGGAGATATCAAGTTGTAATGCTGTTGGGTTAAATAAGACTTCAATGGAGGGAGACTTTTTTTCAGATAATTAAATCAGCAGTATTTCTTCAGTCTTCTGTTTTTTTGTTTTGTTTTGTTTTTAATGGATTGTGATAGAACTTCAAGAGTGTCTTCAGACCTGTTCATAACTTCAAGCCTAGCAGGACTTGGGTGACTCAGAAAACAGCTTCTGGTGCTGTAAATCCGGATTACTTCTACCACTGTCTTGGTGAACTCAGTCTCTTGATCCTGTTTCCCAGGTGGATAAAGTGAAAAACCATGAAGGTGCCTGTTAGATGTGATGGTGGGGCTGTGTTTAGCACCATCTCCAAGCTTCACCAAGGACTTCACTAGTGTGTTTTTTTTTTTCTTTTTTCCTGACTCTTTGTTATTTGTGTTTGCTAGAAAAGCACAGTTCTAGAGACTGCTTTCATATATTGTGTGGTCAGTACTTTCATTCTGAAATCTGAGTTTATAAGAATAACACCTGGATGTTTCTGCATCAGGTTGAGATCTCTGTCATGCCTTTTCTTTTCAATCATCTGTTTAAGGTATTACTATGAATACAACTTACAGAATGCTCTTTTTTTTTTTTTTCCTAATGGCACATAGTATCGCAAGATTGAATTGATGTGAGTATTTGGGAGGAATAAAACCCCCAAACCTCAGTGTAGAGCAACAAAGGTGTTCTCAACAGATGCAAAAATGGGAGTGTAAGGAACGAGGAGGGAGGGAAGCTACCATTGTTGTTTGACTGTTTTACAAACAGCTTTCAGCAGGCTGTTTTATCTGCCCATGTAGACATGGGAGGAAGTACATAGGGTCATTTCAATGCCAGCAGTGCTGCTATTTGGGCTGAGAAAGCACACCCAGCGTAGAAGCAGTAATCCAATTCCTCATTGTTTGCTAGCCTGAGATCTCTATCTGCAATTGTTAATGATGGATTTGCCAGCTTCCAGTGACTAATCAAGGCAGTAGGGTCAAAGTTACAAAGATTAGAACAACTGGTTTTGTTAAGAAACTGGGAGGCTTGGATGAGAGGTTAGATGGCTTGTCCAAAAAAATGGAATTTAATCTGTCACTGCTGTAAGCTGACTACTACTAACTAATGTTAATCAATTGTACAGAGAAACCTGATAAACTGATTACAGCTCACAAAAGAATAGGGAAGAGTGGGGAAAATCCTTGTTGCTCTTAAATTGTGCATATTGAGTAGTGGTGTAATCCCTCTGTATGGGAGTAAACAACTCTGCCCAAAACATGTAACTTGTTCTTCAGAAAATATCAGACTTAATCAGTGTCTTAGCCAAAAGCTGATTATATAAGAAAACCTCACAGTGTGACATAGGTATGAAGAGCCAAAGGTAAGCAAAAGGCTTAGAGGGAAGATAGGCAATGACATTCAAAGCTGCAGTCTTGACAACAGTAATTAATCTGGTGCTTTAGCCTGGTGGGTATGTCAGGTTTTGGTACTACTAATGCCGCAGGTGTTTAAGCTGCGCTCTGCTTGTGCTTCAAAGTGCAGCAGTCTTGCCAGGACTGAGCAATTTGTGATGTCCAAGGCCACTTTGGATCCCAAAAGGGGGTCTGAGCTACCTTCTCTCAGCATGGCTCAATACAGCAGAGATCTCCTCAGAGCTGTGTGGTTCACTCAGGCTCTTCGAAGGACAGAATAGGATCTACTGCTTGCTTTTAAAAAGCAGGTAGTTGTGGCTTCATTCACAGGTTTGAAACTGGGCCTGTTTGGGAGTTGCTCTCCCTCTTGAGTTTGAGGGGGCTGACCCCAATGCACAACTCTCCTTCCAGCTAGGACACACTATAAGGTTATGGGGGTAAGGACCTCTCTATCCCTCGTATTGAACCTTATGTTTCTACTGAACCCATAATGCAAGGTTTGTGGTTAAGGCATGTAGCTGTCCCCACAGTGGTATCTGAAAGCCTGCATGCTCCTGAGCCCTAGACTTGTTTCCATTATCCGTTGGACCTAGTTACCAGTATGGAAATAGGAAGAAATATCTAGCAGTCGACTACTAGAAGTAAACTCATTCTTACCCCTCTGCTGCCAGACTGCTGTCCTCCCCAGCAGCACCAGCGCGACGGCTCGTGGGGCTGTGCGCTCCTCAGAATGAGAAGGGCTCATGTAGCCTAGCCCTGCACAGCTGTGGCAAAACGCTGCTCTGGCAGAACATCTCTTTATGTTCAGTTACTCACTTGCCATTTGTTTGGTTGCATCCTCCTGTCCTGCACTGTCTTTCCCTGCCCCTACACTTCCCCATGCCTTGTGAACTTAAAAGTTATCACTGGAGGTCACGTAACTTGGAGGTTAAATTCTTCCTGAAATAATTTTGGACATAAACATAGTTCTCTACTAGATGGTGTTTCTTTATGCAGCCCTGTCAATTGCCTCCATGCTATTAACACATGTCAAAACAAGCTTGGATCCCTTTTCTTTCCCGTTAGCCTCTAGTTATTGCCTAAGAGATGTGTATTAAAGGAGCAGTAACCTTGTTTTTTCCGTGTGAACTGAGAATGCAGAGTAGTGATCTTCTGTTCAGCTTCTGCCAGCTGCCTTCTGCCCAGGCCGTGGGTTCTGGAGAGCACACAGTCCACATAGATATCCCAGAAGAGCTGAGCCAGGTCCCAGAACAGAGCCCCATGCTTCAAGTTCTCTGAGGATTTCAGGAAAATCATGAAGTCCCAAAAGCCACTGACAGAGTCAGAAATGCGAGGCTTCCTCATTTCCAGCAAGACAGATGAGGAGGATTCCCAGCACTGAGGGTCTGCTCGCCCAAGAGCCAGCGGATCAGTGTGGCTCTGGCAGAGGGAAGGTGCCACCACACAGAACGCTCCCATGATCAGCAGAGAGCACGTGAGTCTCATGTTGCAGTGGATCCTTCCTCTGCTCCCAAGATCCATCGTGTCACTGAAATGTCACAGAAACAAAGGAATCAGGAGAAACTGCTCACTATTGTTTGAAGGAATTAGAATCCCCCTATCTTATATTACATAGAAAGTGCTAATGTAGTGCTAATTATTCCTCTGGATTTTGAACTTGCAAATAAGGGTCCATCCTTTCACAGCGCCTTTAAAACCTTTTGACCATCTTGCTTTCCTTGGTAAAATTTTGTAAACCCTTTAAAATAATCTGCAGACTCCCAGTGATCCGTGGGCAGCCTGTTTCTTATAACTGTTTTAATGAATTAATGGCAGCATGCAAAACCATCCTTTGAACAGGAATAGGTTACTTGATAAAATGCAGAACAGTTCCAAAATGATGATACAGCGAAGCCACAGCATGTGTGCACACAGGCACAATAACCTGAGTAGTTCTGGTGCTGTAGTATTAGTGATCTGCAACAAGTACCTGTAAAGTTGTCAGGGATGTCAGAGTTGTGAAACTTGGTAACTAACAGCTACAGGTAGGAAGCCTCAGAGTGGTAACATTTTGGGAATAGCAAGGTCCAGTCATCTCCAACAAATTTAATTTCTAATGCATATTTCTAATGCATGTGAGAGGTAATAGGTCTGGGTTCTGTGGCAGTTGGCAACATCTGAGGTCATCTGAGCTGAAGGAGACTCTGCAGAGCTTTCAGTCCTGGCAGTGATACCATTGCCTGCCTCTGCCTGGCTACCTGTTGGGGTTCTGGGAAAACTTTGGTATTTAGACTATGGAGAACTAACTGTCCAAACTGTTCACAGGCATTTTTAAACCGAGTTAGGATCTTGAGAGCCGAGTTGCGCACAGACCTGGATGTGATCCCGCACTGCATGGGTCTCGCCGGAGCGTTCTGCCCCGCGCGCCGTCCCGCCGGGCAGCAGGCCCCGCGCAGCGCGCACGGACACCCGCTGCTGCGGCGCTTCCCGGCAGCGCATCCTGAGCTTCCTACTCAGTGACTCAAAAGGCACTTTGATACCTCTTCTTGTGGTACGGCCGCCTTATTCCTCTGGCAGAATTTGGATGAAGTTACCCTCCCCACCCCCTTTTATTTTTCTTCCCTCCAAAAGTCTCTTAATTCTCCTGTTCCTGCTTTTGAAATCAATTTGGTAATGACACATATGGCAGAAAAAAAAAATCAGTTCAAAGGTGCAGTTCTCCCCGAGGAGTGGCTCTGAAATGGGCTCTCAAGGATGGTTCTGTCACTCGCCAGGGTTTGCCCGGTTAACGCGCCGGTTCCGCTGCCTTCCCCCGCCGCGGGCAGCTCTCCGGGCTCCAGCCCCGGCCGGGGAGGGCGGCCCCACCCCGGGCAGCCGCG